GTTTTTCCCGGAGGCGGAAACAGCTGTGTCAGTATCCCAGGCTAATGCTCGGGACTGAGTTTAGCTCTCATGTTTCAGGGGCCGTTAAATTAGTGCTTCTAAACTGGGCTCGTAGAGCAGATCGTTATGTTTCTGCTCATAGCACTGCGTGATTGGATATAGTTCCCATAACGCAACGTGAATTGAACGTTCGATAGGGAACGCTCTGGTTACTGACGTAACCTCTGTTTTCTGAGATAAGGGAACGAGTGTTGCATCACTTGCCGTACTATAAGCTGCATGCAAATCGATAGCTGTCGCTTCAGTCGAAGTGATTCTGATGAAATTGCGCGTTGAGCCGACTTATATAGAGGTCGGCTCCGCCCTTTCTGGCGGGCTAAAGTGCCATTGGTTTGTGCAGTTACACAAACGTTAACAAATCAGGCTTCAGTAACGGGGTAAACAGGAGGATAACCCATAACGCAACACTCATTCCCTTATCTCAGGGAACCGAGGTTACGTCAGTAGCCAGAGCGTTTTCCATGATTATATAAGAACCCTGTAACTGTTTTCTAACACTAACTACCTGTTAACTAACACTGCAAAGTGAATGCAAAGCAGCCAGCATACCTGGGAATTCAAACTTTGAGTTTTCATAGTTTTGTTGTTGTCTTTGTTCACAGTATAATTCCCATACTTTCATTTGTGTAATTTCATGGTTTTATGACTGTACTGAAATGCAGGAACATTGCATGTGTTTAAAGTTGTGAGGGCAGGACCGGGTTAATGAACGGCGTCTGCTGTGTGTGTGCCTCCCCTTCACCCCTCTCTCCTCTCACATACACACACACACACACACACACACACACTCGCGCGCTCACACTCAGGTGTGACAGAATATTGGGATACATTCTGGAATACTCTCTTGATTCAGTGAGTACATTTTCTGCTCCTCGCTCCCTGTAGGCAACATTAATGCATTGCGTGTTTGTGATCTGTTTTGACCCCTGTTTAACTTCTAAACCAGGATAGTATCAGACGGTACTCCATTTCACTGTTAAAAATAGTGTGAATTCAAGAAAGAGACGTTTAGATGCTGTGTTTCAAGTTTACCGAAATACATGACTAGTTGTTTGCGATTACTGCTTAAGAGACTTCTAGAAATAATTCTGTTTCCATTATTAATGCGATTAGATTCAGAATGATTCGCTTGCAAATCTTTAAAGTCATTCATGTTTAGATGGATTTCCCAATGAATCATTCAGACTGGTTTGTTCTTTTGAATAAATCAAATCAGTCATTTCTATCCACTATTTTAGAACTGAGCGTAACTAGAACAATTTGACAATATATTTTTTTAAACCGTTTTGTGCTTTGTGTTTTTATGGTAGCATTTTATTCATTTTTGAAATTATACACATGAACTTTGTTATATTCAGCGAGCATACATGTAATAGTAGCATGCATGCAAAAAAAAGTGGAAAAAAAAGAAATTCTTTTAAAAATCATGAAAACAATTTTTATCTTTCCTGATATTTCCATGTTTTGCATGAACCCCGTGTCTGTTAACTAACACTGTTGGGATCTCAGAGTCGTGCGCTCATCTGTGATCTTTCTAGGTGTTAATTTACCCTCTCATCATAGTTGATCTGCAACCATCACGTTTTTAATAGCCGTCTGCTGTGAGGTTGGTTTTGATGTGTCGACTCGTAAACTTTGAGGAAGAGTTCCAGTAGCTCGGGTGTCTGGCTGTACTGTCAGGACGCCAGCGTCACTCCGATCATCTGTACGCTATGTGCAGGCTATTATTGACCCCATGGATGGATGAATAGGTGCATGAGAAAGATCTCAGAGTCGTGCGCTCATCTGTGATCTTTCTAGGTGTTAATTTACCCTCTCATCATAGTTGATCTGCAACCATCACGTTTTTAATAGCCGTCTGCTGTGAGGTTGGTTTTGATGTGTCGACTCGTAAACTTTGAGGAAGAGTTCCAGTAGCTCGGGTGTCTGGCTGTACTGTCAGGACGCCAGCGTCACTCCGATCATTAGCAGAGGAGATCTCTGCCTGTACGCTATGTGCAGGCTATTATTGACCCCATGGATGGATGAATAGGTGCATGAGAAAAGAGTGAGTTAAGGCCTTTATCAGACCGTTTTAGACTAGCTGCATGTCTGTAATTCTGTCTGACTCTCTGTCTGTCTTTCCAAGGTTTTTGTTGGCAACTCAGTGAAGGGTGTAATGGTTGTACGTAAAGGACAGGCTAGATTTGGTAACACTTAGACACTTGGTTGACTATAAGTAAATTTACAAGCATGTCAACTTATTCTACTAACAGTAAAGTGTAACCATAACATACCAGTCTACTAATACTCTAATGGAGCTTTTGACATGTAGTTGCAAAGTTACTTATAGTCAACAGAATGTCTAGGGGAGCATCAAAATAAAGTGTAACCCTGGATTCACAGGGATGAACTGTATGACCAAAATCTATAATGACAAAGGTATCTGTAAATTCAACACCAAAATGTTTTAAAAATAATACATAACTATTAAATAATGGCTATTTTGGGATAATCCAGTGAATTAAATACTGTACAAATAAAGAATAATTGAATATGATGGATGCAAACGTTTAAAATACGTTTAAAATTATTAATAGTATCAGTGCACAAAGTACTATTATTGGCACATAAAACAAGTAAAACATAGATTATTGAAGTAAGAAAATACATTTTCAGTCTTTCTAATTCAATGTATTCCTTGCTGCTGCTTTGTAATTATTTGTAAAATTTACCAGCAATTTCTGAAGTGAAAATTGTTTCAACACCATTTTTTACAATGTAATAATAAGTAAACTGCTATTTATAGTAGCCTATTAGTACACTGTAAAAAAATTACAAATAATTGTAATTATTTAAAATTATTTACATAATAAAACAAAAATTATTGCATTATGTTTTATATGAAAATACTATTTCAGTCTTTCTGTTACAAAATTTCATGTTTAATTCAATGTGTTGCTTGCTATTTCTTTGTAAGTATGTGTGAAATTTACCAGCAATTTCTGAGTGAAAATTGTTTCTACGCCAATTTTTTTTTTCAATGCAGTATAACTAAAAATGAACAATTCAAACAAAGTCATATTTTAAGTATGATTAGTTTGGTCCCATTCAAAGACGTTGTAAAATATTAAATGCACAGTGGTTGAATTCTGTCTACAATGTGCCATATTGGGACGTGTGGCAACTGTAAACCTGTCTAAACCAAAAGTGACCACAACAGTATGAAGATTCAAAAATCTATTGCTCCTGTTAAACTCAATAAAGCAACAGCAGCGTTTGCAGACTGGACTGTAGTTTTCTGTATTATGTTGGATGTTTTAAACATGCATATTGTTATGCATCTCATCCCTAGTAGTGAAGTGAACGCCTGTAATTCTGTCACAGTTCCTCATATTGACGGGTCTGTTCCTGTGGGACAGATTGTGTTCATAGCTCAACTCTTACTGCAGGACCAGAAGAGTGTGGTGACATAAGCTCAGCATGACGGATGTGTTGACAGGGTCTCTGCGGTCCGTCACAACAGGCTTTTACCTGCCAGTTGACACAATGCAGAGACAATGACCCAACCAAGCTAAATAAAACAACTTTGTGCTGTAGTTAAGGACTATTTTATGGCATCATACAAAAAGTGGACCACATAAAACCCCTCTTGTGTATTTCAACCGACCCAAACTGATTTTCTGTTTTGTTTCTGTGAGAAAAACCCCTCTGAGAGGGTCTTTGGTTCTGGCGCTACAGCTGCACCAGGACTGGCATAGCTGCCGCTGAAGGACTGTATTTAGTAACATGATTGAGGATGCTTAGAAAGGTTGGAATGCCCGACTGACTCACACAAGCAAACATCATATCTGTGATTGGAGACCCTCACACTCTCCCTCTCTGCTAGAGAGAAATATCATGCTCATGTCTTATTTTTAAGACTGTTGTTCATTGTTCTCAGAGACTTTCCCCTTTAATCATGTGTCTAGCTGCATTAGAGTTTGTATTACTTTAAAATTATTATAGATTTTTTGCAAACTTACATACCATTCAAACATGAGAAATAAATACTTTTATTTAGCAAGGATATGACAGTGAAGACATGTATAATGTTACAAAAGATTTCTATTTCAAATAAATGCTAATTTTTAAACGTTTTAGTCATCAAATAATTTTGCTAACTACCAAATTTTGCTATAAGTTTGATTGCATCATATAATAATGGCTGTTAATAGTGTTCATCGTCTGTTTGATTTTTCCGTACATTTCTGCCATATGTACATTAACTGATAGTCACCACTGATAAGCTACTACTAAATATATTGTAGAAACTTAATTTTCTGTAAAGTTGCTTTGCAACAATTTGTATCGTAAAAAGCGCTATACAAATAAACTTGAATTGAATAATTTTGAAAAAGAAATGATATCAGTTTCTACAAAAACATTAAGCATCACAACTGTTATTAAAATTGACGATTATTAGAAATGACTCTTAAGCAGCAAATCAGCATATTATAATGATTTCTGAAGGATCATGTGACTGAAGACTGGAGTAATGAAAATTCAGATTTGCATCAGAAATAAATGACATTTTACAATATGTTCACATAGAAAACAGCTCTTTTAAATTGTAATATTTCACAATATTACTGTTTTTATTGTATTTCTGATCAAATAAATGCAGCCTTGGTGACCAGAAGGGACTTTCTAAGAAAAAAAATAAAAACTCTTACCAACCCCAAACTTTTGATTGATGGTATATTTGCATTTTGTAATTTAAAGGGAAACTTTTCTTCATATTCTGAAACAAATTCGTTTGATGTAAAATGTGACACTTAACATTCCTACTTAACTCCTATCTTATAGAGCAGCAAAACAGACTTATATTATGGTAGTCAGAGGGAGAGCAGAAAAAAGTCATGCAAAACAAAACTTCTTGGAGAAACCTTTACTAACTTCTGTTTCTTCTTTCTGCACAGACGCCTTGCTTGCAGATCTCGAGTCTTCCACTGCCCATATCTCCAAGTGCCCAGTGTTTCTTCCTGAGGAGACACCATATTCCTACCCCACCGGAGGGCACCTTTTTCAGGATGACTCCCCTCCTCCGCCCCTGCCCCCTCCACCCACATCTGAGGCCCTGAACGGATCGCTGTCCCCGCGGCCGGACTCCCAGCACTCCTCGCAACAGGTTCGGCACAACCTATCTTAGGACTTTCCAAAATAAGCTAGTCAGTATTCATAACACCTCAGTGTGTCTTGTTATTGCTAATGTGTGCAAATATTTTATGTTCTGTACTTTACCTGGGGTTCTCAACTGATTTTACTTAGTACCCAGATTTTACATTGGGCATTAATTTTGGGAGTCCTTGACTTAATATAACAATTTTGTTACTGTGTTGGGTCACCAACTTTTTTGTCAGCCAAGACACTTTGACCTAAAATATTTACCTGAAGTTCCCTTGAGATTTTGAGTTAATGTTTCCATAATTTAACAACACATGTTTACAGTTCTCTGATTAATGACTGCTCATTTTCTGGTTAATGGTCACTTGATATGCATGTATACAACTAAAATATTTTAATTAAAATAAGGATTTACATTTCATATTATGCTTTATACACATATACACATAAAATGTAAAATTTATTAAAATAAAAATACTGAAAATAAACTCAACTGGCCCAGCCCAGCCCATTTTGGACTGTGCCACACCAGTTGAGAATCAGTGATTTATTACATTTGCAATATAGATTTGCATAAAACATTATGCATTTTGGTTTTTCTTGTGTTGAAATTTAGTCTCTGGGCTCTGCTCATAAAAGCACGTTGTCTCGGGACAGCAGCCCACCAGCCTCGCATACAGAAGAAGACCACGTTTACAGGTGAGTTACAGTGTCACAGATGAGAATTGACAGCTCGTACTGATAATAGTCAAACAAAATGTGTATTAAATATCTGTCATTCTGTGGTGTTATCCACCATAATATCCCTTCCATTTGCCCATGTCCTGCTATTATGAAAAATCAAACCCTAAATGGCACACTTCTATTGGTCCAGTTTTCCTAACAAGCAGAAGCACTCAGACTCATCGGCCACAGCCATGACTTCTGCCCTGGGCAGCAACCTGTCTGAACTGGACCCCCTTCTTCTGGAACTCAACGCTGTACAGCAAAATGCCCCATCTTACTCCACTACAGGTAAAGATGAAGACACACTTAAGGCATTCCGAAAAATTTATTGCCATGCATGAATATTTATTCAGCGGGTAAAATAGGTATTGAACACGTCACCATTTTTTCCAGTAAGTGTATTTCTAAAGGTGCTGTTGACATGAAATTTTTCACCAGATGTCGGTAACAACCCAAGTAATCCATACATACAAATAAAACAAAACAAATAAGTGCAGAAATAAATACATGGTGGTGGTTAGCACTGGTTATCAAGTTACTATTTGTTATCAAGTGCACAAAGGTACCATTGGTACCACTGGTTATCAAGCGCACACACAGCAACATTTAAGTTCTTCAAAAATATTGAACTACTGAAATTTATTTAATACTTTGTGCAAAAGCCTTTGTTGGTAATGACAGCTTCAAGACGCCTCCTGTATGGAGAAACTAGTCGCATGCATTGCTCAGGAGAGATTTTGGCCCATTCTTCCACAAAGTCTTCAAATCTTGAAGGTTCTGTGGGCCTCTTCTATGAACTCTGATCTTTAGTTCTTATTTTCTATTGGATTCAAGTCAGGTGATTGGCTGGCCATTCGAACAGCTTTACTTTCTTTCTCTGAAACCAATTGAGAGTTTCCTTGGCTGAATGACACAGGGAAAAAGTATTGAACCACTGAAATGTATTTAATACTTTGTACAAAAGCCTTTGTTGGTAATGACAGCTTCAAGACGCCTCCTGTATGGAGAAACTAGTCGCATGCATTGCTCAGGTGTGATTTTGGCCCATTCTTCCACAGTGTCTTCAAATCTTGAAGGTTCTGTGGGCCTCTTCTATGAACTCTGATCTTTAGTTCCTATTTTCTATTGGATTTAAGTCAGGTGATTGGCTGGGCAGCTTAGCAGCTTTATTTTCTTTCTTTGAAACCAATTGAGAGTTTCCTTGGCTGTGTTTGGGATCATTGTCTTGCTGAAATGTCCACCCTTGTTTCATCTTCATCACCCTGGTACTGTAGGTGTTGGGACTGAACCAGCTAATATTAATTTCCACTGGCAAGGGGCAGGATTGCTTTCTAATTACTGATAGATTTCAGCTGGTGTCTTGGCTTTCCATGCCTTTTTGCACCTCCCTTTCTTCATATGTTTAATACTTTTCCCCTGTGTCATTCCATTTTATTACACATAACTTAATTTCTGAACTTATTTATGTTTTCTTTGTATGTATGGATTACTTGGGTTGTTACCGACATCTGATGAAACTTTCAAGTCAACAGCACCTTTAGAAATATATTTACTGAGAAAAATGGTGACGTGTTCAATAGTTATTTTACCCGCTGTACTGCTTTGATTATGGATAAAGATATAAAAAAACATGTAATCGTACTTTGAAACTTCCTCTTTGCAGAAGATGTTGCACCTCCATTGCCCCCCTGCAGTGTTGCCCACTATATCCAGGAAAATGGAGCCCACCCAGGCATCACACTGACACCGGCAGCCCAGGACAAGCCTCAGAGGAATGGAACGAAGGGGACAGATGATGGCCGTCCCACTGTGGAAAGTCTTCTGAATGAGTTGGAGAGCTCTGTGCCTTTCACAACGTAAGATCTCTCTCAGCTGTAGATGGAGAAACATGGATTTGCATTGAGGATTTTAATGGAATGCTGTAATTTACATAAACAGGCCAAGCCCCTGTGCTCTGACGAGGGAATTGACAGATGGGCAGGTGGACACACCTTCCGAGCAGCAAGGCAGAATATCAGCCACCTCCGCTACACGAGAACTGGATGAGCTCATGGCCTGCCTGTCAGATTTTAAGGTGCAGAGCAATGTGAGTGTGTGTATATGTGTGTATGTGACACTTACAGGACGGTGTAAGTGAGTTGAAGAGACGTTGTGTCTGGGAATGTGTGCTGAACTATGTTGTTTGGCTGATCTATTTTCAGGACTTACTGCTTGACAATCTGGGCTTGCGTTTCCCAAAAACGTTGTAAGTAGATAGTTGAGACCATTTGTGCCAATGGTGTCTACAATCTTCTTGGGCTTACGGCGCTGTTGGGAAACACTACCCTGGCTGGTCTTCATCTGACCATCACAACCAGTTTATTTATTTGCAAATCTTTTCCTGCTTGTCTATGAATTCTAGCTTAAATTTCATCTCATTACTTCAACATTGCATCCAGAATCTGTTTTGTTTTTTCCTCAGCTGTTTTGTATATCTCATTAAAGCTTTTTCTTAATTATTTCTCATTCTCTGCTTTCCTTAATCTGTCACTATCTTCTGTTTCTCCTCTTTCTTCCCCTGTCCCTCCTTTATGTCCTCCAGCCAAGTTCTTTGGGCTCCCTGAACTCTGAGCCAATGTTTGAGCAAACTACTACCATTGCTGAAATCCACCCTCCTCCTACGACTGCCGTGTCCAAATCCCTGTCCCCTACCCTCCCAGTGGAACCAAGACGATATTCCCCAGGTCTCTCCTCTCCTTTAAACTTTGAACTGCACATTGTGGAGTTTGAACCGGGGGCTGTGCCTCCACCGTCCAGTGTTGTCCCAAAGCCTTCCTCTCGACTGTCTCCACCTGTAGCATCCAGTCCTCGTTTTTCTCCAGTACCTGACCTGGGCTTGGATTCTTCCATTGATGTCTCTGCTTCCCTGCTGTCCTCCCAGGTGGAATCTCTAGTGGTTCTGTCTCAGACTATAACCACCACTACCACACCTGGAAGTGGAGACCTTTGTAGTTTCTGGGAGGGAAGTCCTTCTGCCAAATTGACAAGCTCTGGGCTGAAGGCCTATTCGCCTATCACCAAGTCTCCTAGTCCAACAAGTGCCCCACTGGTCAGCAGAACCAATGAAAGAGTTAGCCCATTGATGACACCAGCATCAATTGATCTGTATCTCTCCAACTCTGAAGCAAAACCTATAAGTCCAATGACATCTCTTTCCAGATCTCCACTTCCTACAGTCTATGAATCACCATTTCTGTCTCTTCCCAAAGCTGTATCACCCCCTCTAATCCTATCCTCTTCCTCGTCTGTAGTGGTTCCCAAGTCTTCAAGCCCAAAACCATTATCAGGACAGCCTCCCGCTGGCCTTCAACCACCAACCTATGAGCCATGTCTTGATGATGCCTTGGATAAACTCCTTGCCATGAGCTTCAGCAGGCCTGAGAACGAGGCTCTAATCACCACATCAGCGGCCTCACGGCTCACTTCGGAAGTACAACCAGAAGTCTACGAGGAGACAATAGTAGCAGCGGATCGCAGCAACATTCATCCTGACACTCGTACAGAGAGCGAAATGGGGGACGGGTTCTTGGAGGATCAGTCAGACTGCAGGAGTGATCTTGACTGGGCTGACATGGAACTGAAGATGGCCTACGAAGGACCTGATGGCTCCATGACCCCAATGACAGAGGCAAGTTGGATGGATGGCTCTCTTACTCCATCGTCTTGCCCTGGAACCCCAGATGCCCAGATGGACCTTCCCATGCTGCATACGGCTGGCACAATGGACAGGATCTCAGCCTCTGGACACGTACGGATAGGACTGCAATGCTTGTTGATTGGAATGCTGTGGAATTTGGTTTGGAGTTTTTACAGACAAGTCTTGCAGTGGTTTGATTGCCAGCATGTAAATCAGGGGTGTCAAATCCTGCTCCTGGGGGGGCCACCTTCCTGCAGAGTTTAGCTTGAGCCAGCTAATCAAGGTCTTCAGCATTACTACAAACTTCCAGGCAAGTGTATTGGAGCTACAATGTGCAGGAAAGTGGCCATCCAGATACAAGATTGAAGAAGCCTGATGTAATTAAAACCTGTTAGTCAGATGGATAAAAGTCATAATTGTTGCTCTACACCCTGAAATACTGAGTTATCCTTACTCTAATTATTTAGTTTTCACTCCATTTATGGTAAATTGTAATTGTAAGAACTTAAATGTTGCTGTGTGTGCGCTTGATAACCAGTGGTACCAATGGTACCTTTGTGCACTTGATAACAAGTAGTAACTTGATAACCAGTGCTAACCACCACCATGTATGCAAACGCCCAACTTTTCATGCTAAATGATTTTGCACCTGGATTGCATCTGAATGCTTCCATAGATCCCTGCTTGCCTTTATTAGTTTCTTTGAACAATAATCAATAATTCTTGAGTCATGTGGCATCTCAAGGAGTTTGTACTGCTGTCCCAGATCAAATCTGTGATTAGACGTACCAAGGAGATTCAAAACGTCCATCCCATGTACCGAGACGGCCTGATACGTAGGAAGATGGGCCCCCTCATTTTCCACAAGAGTAGCAGACATGCTGTCATTGGCTAAGCTTCTGTCTTACTGTCCTCTTCTAGAATAATCACAAAACTTCTATGGATTTGTAAATTTAATGTTGTATGCTTGAGCTTGGAGATGTTGTGTGTGTGTGTGTGTGTTTGTGTGTGCTCAGCCTCCTACCGTGGTCATAAATATTAGATTACATTAGATGCGCCCCAGGGAGAGTTTCAGACAAGAACTCTGTTTGAAACCATCTTGTAGTCAGGGTTTCAAGCTGGTCCTTAAAAAGGCTTAAATTTAGTTATCAAATTTAAGGCCATTAATAATCTTAAATGGTACAAGAAAGTCTTAACTCTTTCCCCGCCAGCATTTTTGAAAAAAGTTGCCAGCCACCGCCAGCGATTTTGATGATTTTTTTGTACTGCTGTCCCAGATCAAATCTGTGATTAGACGTACCAAGGAGATTCAAAACGTCCATCCCATGTACCGAGACGGCCTGATACGTAGGAAGATGGGCCCCCTCATTTTCCACAAGAGTAACTCCCAGGACCGGCTCATTGATGAACTGCAAGGCAAGCTGGGAATTGCCCGTAAGGATCGTCCAAAAAAGCAACAGCCGGATGACTGGCTCACAGAAGGCGTCATTGTCATGTCCAACCCCAAACGCTCACGGGAAGACCACAACAGGGAGGTGGATAAGGTAGACGGGAAGGATCTACGGATTCAGCACATTCTGTTTCCACTCCATTCAATTCCTATAAAATTATTTTGCTTAATTGCATTGACGTTTCTCTGTAATCACCTGCTTTTTTCTTCTTCATTCCTGCTTTCCATCTCTTTCTCTCTCTTCTTCTTTCTTATCGGTGTCTTCCTCTAGATAATCATACCTCCTGAGTCTCCTCTTCCTCAGAGGAAGGTGATCCCACCTCCCCAGTCTCCCCCGATCCCTCGCCCCCCTCCCCCTGCTGAAGAACAAAAGCGCCCCCC